TTCCAGGTCTGCTATCAAAAGCCAGGGTAGACTAGTCTCAAGTTCATTCTGTCATTTTCAACCCGCAAAAACATGACTTACAATGATCTGACTTTCAAATCAGCTCCGCTGGATTAATCCCAGCTCCTTTTCCATTTCCGGACATGGAGTCCAAGAAACAAAACAACAGAAACAACCAAACTGCAGATAGATGTATCTGATCATCTAAGGATTTAAATGAGATTTCCTGTAATATCTGCGAACTCGTTTTGATATTGCTGATAGGATATCTAGGGTTTGATAGAGAGAATGTTTGACAAGTCTGCAAGCTTGGCTATTACGATTTACCAAGATCTTATCTAAACAGCGGTGTGATTTATAGACCCTTACTGCACTTGAAATGAACCCCAAAAGGACATGATCACACAAGAATATCAACTGTGCATTACATACAGCAACAAGTTATATTTTTTCTAATAAAGATAACAAGTAAGTATGATAGTGATAGTTACATTGCACTCACATGGTAAATGCCAATACGTAAATTCTAGGATTATAAGCAACAGATCCCATCTAACACAATCCAATATCTAAAAGGTATTTGCTATAGCACTTTTTTATTGCAGTTCAAGTGTTCCACAAAGGGCTCCACATATTTTAGTAACTGCAACAAGTATAGAGATTTACAACAAAACAAAACAAAAATACACACGCAAACATAACTAAAAAAGAGAAAATGATTGCAAAATTTCAAATAATATTCACTTCATCAGTTGTTCAAAGACAACTGTGTTGAATGTCAGGGGATGAAATGACACTATTTAGGGAGGTTTATACATGGGTGGTGAGTTGGATGGAAGAATTATAGCTATCATAACTTTTCAAATATTGGTTAGAAACATATTTTGTCTGCTCAGTGCCAGAAAGGCACAAAGTGATGTTACTTTACAATACATATGAGGTGCTTCTGGCTCTGAGCATGTGACTTTATAATCCTAAATACCATACTTGCACAGAAAAGTATGCAAGAAAAATTTCATTGCAGGTCACAACAAAGATAGAACTAAAATTTGGAGGTGGTTGGCAACTTGGCAGACTAGTAAAGCAGCAAAAAAGGTCTCAGGTCTTAGAAAACTAGGTGAGTGTTCTTCATTTATCTCATTTCCTTGTAAAACGGATAAAGTAGCAAACTTGCACCAAATAAGATGATCTGATAAGAGATGGGGTTTGGGGAAACTGGAAACTCTTATTGGAAGAGAGAAGATCTATTTGTATTGTCATGGCAAAGAAGGAAATGAGAAAGATCAAAAACAGGTTTGACGTTTTGAAATAATTTGGACTGGAAAATTAACATTTATTTATTTATGACATTAAATAACATGGGTTTAGTTTTGGATCAAGCTCAACTAAAACTAATACATATATTTGGTTAAAATTCATGTGAATGTCTGAATATTGGCAGTATCTGTCAGTCTTTAGGAAACTGTTTCTGTTTCAGTTGTTACCTTAAGATAGTTTTGAAGTTGATATCTTAAAATATAAATAAAAAGAAATGTTACAGTTAACAGGATTGTTAACAGGTTAAGGCAAATCCATTTTATTCTATAACAATTTTTATCATCAAAATTGAAACTTTGAAAATTATATAAAAATGCCATGCTGAATATATCCTTTTATCCTTCAAAAAATACATAAAGAGCTGTAAGTAAGCATCTAATAAAAATTTGGTACAAAACAATGCAGAGTTGCAGGTTCTCACACCCTGAATACAAATATATTAAGAAAACATTAAGTAATTCTTCCAAATTGCTTTCATCAGATGAGAGTTAAGCTTTTAAAGTCCCTCACTAGCAATTCAATTTGAGTTGAGGCTTGATTTAATGGTACCAACCTCCTTCATGAATAATTGATCCTACTTTTACCACTTGGATTGAAGATGTCATATCTTTCCTTTTTACATCAGTCATTCTAGGGAAGTACAACCTTGATTAAGCATTGTTGCTTAATCTTTAAAGGTAAAGACCAGTATTGGAAACGCCCCAATTTCAAAAAATGAAACGGAAGCTCTCATTACCAATTATGTGAAAGAATATGTTTTGACTAATAAATGATGATAAAAAATTTGGCGGGAAACCGCCTACTAATTCATATATTTGGTAAATTTGTTTCTCTCATGGTCTGTGAGAGATATAGGGTAGTCCCATATACATCTTTCTGTGTATAGTGCTTGTAACTTTACGAAGAATGGGCAAAATTTCTTATCATTTTGATGATTCCAGAACCTTGCAGATGCTAGATGCTAGATGATCAACCTTTTCTGATCGATTCCACAACGTTTCTTTCACAATGCAATCGCATGACCATAACTGGTCTTTACCTTTAATAACAAAAGTATCAAGTCTCCATTGCTTTATTTTGACAGTTTCAGGGCAAGTTACATATTCATGTAAAAATATGCAATTTAAAAAAAAACTTTTCATGGATATGGGTAAATTTGAGAAAATTCTATGGGATATTTTCTAGAAAACCATTAAAAAATCTCCATCCTCTCTCAAACTATCTTCACTTCTTTACTTGAGGAAAACTTTTAAACTTGGCACAACCAGGGGCTGTGAGGAAGTAGATACTCGTCATTATGGTAAACCAATGTCTCTCATCGGAAACAGATTACATCTTATATCTTCAAGGAGCGGTAGCAGGCACGTAGAAGAGTGATTAGATTTATAGCGTTTCAACCGCAATGATTTTAATCTGCTATCTGTCCCTGAACTGAACTTCTTTTGATTCTCCACTGCTTGCACGATCCTTAAAATTACAGTCAGAATTATTGCAGCATACAACATACCTTGTTTGACTCCCTTAGAATAACCTATATTATCAAAATTAACCTATTATACAATATAGACATATTTCTTCAAATCATTTACATATTTACATATATTTCCTACATGTAAATAAGTTCAAATATTTACATTCAATAGCTAAAATGAAAAGGCTTAAACTTACAAATTCTAACTCTTTTTTAAAGCAATTCGTTAAAACATTGCCTCAGATTCTAAAACTAAATCCTGGATTTAACTCATGCTGCAATCAAAATTATATACCTTTAGGTCAGTCAGGAATTCCATGACTTTTACAAGTTGATCGCCTATCTAATTATCAAGATATTTATGATAGGAAATTGAAATTTCGTTTTTCCTAACGGTGTTTATAACACTACAGTCTGGGGAAAATGAGTATGGTAAAACCGGTCACTCAAATATTTTAAATTTGTTCGGGCTTCAATATTACACCATATTACAGACACTGATAACACATAGGGCCATGCATCTCAGATTTAACATTGTTAAACATTCAGAAAATTAAGCTTAGCCTTTCCATAACGTAGGCAAAATGTCATGCATTGGGGGGCATTACATTTAGAACTTGAGGCAATAAGAAACTTAATTATTTCAGTGACATTCTCAGTTTTATAATATACATAAAAGATCCAGCCGCCTATAATGTTAGCCTTTAAGTTTCTCAAACCCGGCATTTGTTGTTGCTTCTGACTAGTGTGACTAGTGACGCTTCTCTCACATTGAATGCTAACAATGAGATTTACTTGCTGCACATCGCACCATGTGAAGCTCCAATGTGCCATGTCTCAGTCCTTGTCGGCATCTTCAAACGATTTCACGCTTGGGAGGAAGGAAGGAGTGGAATCGTCGTTATAACATGAGGTTGTTATCTCGCTCCCTTTCTCTTTCTTTTGATCTTGTTCTCTCTCCCATCTTCCCCCTCTATTCTCTGTTCCCCTTCTCTGTCTTTTCCCTTTTCCTCTCCATTTCTCTCCCTCTCTCTCTCTCTCTCTCTCTCTCCTTCCTAAAACTCCTCAAACCCCTATTCCTCCCCACTCTCTCTGTACTTTTGCCTTTCCTCCCCCTTCCATCTTTCTCCCCTTTTCCTCACTTTAATTATTCCTTCTCTTGTTCCAAACTGTATTGATTTTGAAGATAAAATGTTTGAATGTTTGAGAAATGAACTGCAAGTAACCTAACAGATTATAAAGTATAATGAGTCCACTTGCATGATCATTATACCCATTTGCCCAAATGAACATGGCAAGGAAAGAATTGTCTCTAATGATGCTTGAAATTACATAAACATGTTTTTCATGTATTGTACTCAGTCATCGACCCCTTGCTTCATCAAACGCTCTATGGAACATGAAATGTTCTGACACCTACAAATTACAGAATCATGTAATAATTTCAAAAGAAGTAGTATCTAAGGTTGAGCTACGTTAATGACATGCTTCCATTCATGGGTCATCATTTCTCAAGATCAATAATGATACTGCTATCATTTAACGACTCAATGTTTTTCACAGAAAGCAAAAAGAACCCTTCATCAAACTTTCCATCCTCAGCTCTTGAAGTGGAATGGATGAAAGACAGGCATGTTCACTACTTCATACAAACATTTGAAAGTTAATTCTAAAATGAACAGTCACGATGGGTTGAAATGTGAGTTCCACACTGCCCTCTCTTGCCACTTTTGTGTTGACATATTCTCTTAACTACAATCTTTCTACACTAATGAATAAAAGCAAGATAGAAGAAGATTCAAAATCAGCCAACAACATAGTAGAAATTGCGATGGTCTCCACAAAAAGAAGAATTTTCTTTCTTTTCTCGCCTGTCTTGTGTAATATCATATCTAATAATCATATCAGATTGCTCTGACATCCTCTTTATCCCATTTACTATGCAGGGATAATTGCATTTTCTCCCTAGAATATAGTTTCATTTGGGAGAACACACATTTTCTACACTCCAGCCTGAATATCCTGGGCAGCCTGAAATATCTTGGGCAGCCTGAAATATCTTGGGCAGCCTGAAATATCCTGGGCAGCCTGAAATATCTTGGGCAGTCTGAAATATCTCGGGCAGCCTGAAATATCTTGGGCAGTCTGAAATATCTTGGGCAGCCTGAAATATCTTGGGCAGTCTGAAATATCTCGGGCAGCCTGAAATATCTTAGGCAGCCTGAAATATTTCGGGCAGCCTGAAATATCTTGGGCAGCCTGAAATATCTCGGGCAGCCTGAAATATCTTGGGCAGCCTGAAATATCTCGGGCAGCCTGAAATATCTTGGGCAGTCTGAAATATCTCGGGCAGCCTGAAATATCTTGGGCAGTCTGAAATATCTCGGACAGCCTGAAATATCTCGGGCAGTCTGAAATATCTCGGGCAGCCTGAAATATCTCGGGCAGTCTGAAATATCTCGGGCACCATCATCAGGATGATAAAGGAATGGTGTAAAAGAATAAGACTTACCTCTGGTGCCCTGTAGAGCAAGGTTTGGAGTTCAAATTCATCATAGTACAATGACAGCTCCTCATACACTCCATGGATAGCATTCCCAAAGTCAATCACTTTGATACCATCAGATATGTTTTCTACAAATGGGAAGATAAAAATACAACAAAGAGATTGATTAATAACTTCAAATTATATCAAAATGATTTTATGATATGATGAATCCATTAAAACAAGAAATAACATGATAAAGTACACATCATTAGCATGGGGAAAAGGGCATACACAGGGGAAAATATCCAAAGATATGTCATTTAATTTGCAATGAACTAAAAGGGTAAGGTATATATGTCAATACCTTCTGGCTCACAACAGATGACATATCAAAAAAACTTAGGATGGAAGACTAACGCTACACCCTTCATGGTGAACTTCTTCATTGCCAAAGGTAACTTCACATTATTTTCAGTACTCAGTCAAGCCAAGCCCTGCTCAGTTTTCAAGTTTTAGAAGGTAGACAATATTCATACTGCACGTCGACCTATATTATCACAAAAAGTCTTGTGTTAAGACATTTCATTATAGTGTTCATATGAGATTGAATCAATTTTGTTGCTTCATTAATTCACTGTAACTATGTGGTTATAACAAAAACACGTTTCCTTGTATCACTGGTTTGAATGACTTCACATCTGAGTGTGATAGCAGTAGGATACATTTTGTCACAAGTTGCTGATGCTGCAATTGAACTATTAAAATTACAAACTCATTAAAATGTAGGAAAAACAAAAACTAAGAGTTCATATGAATTAGAAAACCATGAAACATTGATAAAATACCTGTACATAAAAATAATGAGAATTACAATTCCTTTCATCAGACTTATAGGATTATAACAGGAGAGTTGGCTGGCCCATTACTTTTTTCCTCTACTCTCTCCACCTCCCACAACCCCCTTCCCCGTCCTCTCTGTCTGTCTGCCTGCCTCTCTCTGTCTTCTCTCTTTCTCTCTCTATCGCTCGCTCTCTCTCTCTCTCTCTCTCTCTCTCTCTCTCTCTGCTATGTCTCTGTCTCTGTCTCTCTCCTGGCTGCGGTCTTGGAAGCTTGTTGTGGATGAGGATTCTAGCCAAGCGAAACATTCCTAGACAATTACTTGTGTTTGGTCATCATCTTGGCGGTGGAGCATCAAAATCAAAACAAGATGTTTGAGAGTAGTGTTGGCAGTGCATGATGAGCTAAACAGACTGAGGAGATGTTCCTCCGCATTACAGTAATGCAAAAGGCTTCGTTATGATCGATGTGCTCCAGGTTTGGGGGACATCTTCTTAATCTTCAAAGGCTGGGTAGAGTTTCAGCCAAAGTTCAATAATAAGGCAGGGTAGCGGTGGTGGGTAGTTTACCATTATACAGATTACAGAATGTTCACTTTACTTCTTTGGCCATTGGACAATTGTTGACTAATATAGTTAATTGATATCTTATACCTGAAACATATTTCTTTTAAAGACAAAGTTGTTAACTCTTTACTTCTTAAGTCGACTGTTGGAACAAACAGGGGACTGGAAGAATTTACCCTTGTCACCCCTACAGTGTACATGTATATATTCCATATAGCAGTCCGATAGTCTCTAAAAGATTAATCTGCTTTCACGAACTTCCTAGAATATAAGCCTTAATATGTTATGAGGATATATTCTCTAAACTCTAAGCTTTGCACAATATGTTGGTGACATTGGATGGCTTGGCATCAGAAGAACACTGACCTAGGAGAACATATTGCATTCTTTGGTCATGGTTCTGGGATATTACTTGCATTGCACCAAATAACGATCAGTCCTGCTTCACTAGAAATCATTTCAAAACACCATCATTACAACCTCTAACTAATAGTATGGACAAGTCCAACATAATCATTATACCACAACCAAGAGGCCTAGATTATAAGATACCACTCACTCTTCCCTATCATCCTCTTTCATCCCCCTTCTGCTTATACATTTGACGCTCTCGTCTACTAGCAAAAATAATAAAGGCTGACAAGGAAGTGAGCAAATACAGGGGAGATTTAAAATGAGCTCTAGGAGAGAAATAAAATGATCAAAAATTGACAAATGGGAAAATCACTTTGCTTTTAAGGTTTCAAGAGAGCTTCCTATAGGACAAAAAAAATGTCAGACAAGTTAAAAATTAGGAACTTGTCTCATGCTTGTCTCTACATCTGTGGATTTTGTCTCTATCTACATCTCATCTTCATTCTGCCTGCCCCTAAATCTTAACGTTTCCATACTGCCTGCCGCTGTTAAGGCAAGTATCACATCCGAAAATGATGATACAAATCCGCTCCCTCTTTCTCTTTGCTTTCTCCTTTTCCTCCCATACTCTTTCTCTTCTTTACCTCACCTTGCCCCATCCCATCCTTCATCAACCATGGCATATCATCAGGCACTGTCATGATCTTCAGGAATTGAAAATAACAGGTATATTGGTAACCTCATCCCCAACATACTAACACTGCCAACTACAATACAGATCACCATCCACCCCTCCTGTCCCCTTTCTCTCTTACCCCCATTCTCTTCTCATTTTTACCTCATTATCCCCCCCCCCCCCTCCCAATTAAACATATGTCAACCCTAATGTACTGTCACACCCTGTCATCTTGGTTGGAGTAGAAAATAACAGGTTTATTGGTAACCTCATCCCCAACACTACCAACGATACAGATCATTTCCCCCTCCCCTTATTGTCTTCTTTCCCTTGCTCGAGACACACTTTGTCCCGCTGATTGACACTGTCATCTTTAATGAGAAAACCAGACCATGACTGCCTGCCTGGTGAAGAGGCCTCCATGATTACCTTGTTTTGATTTGGACAGTAATCTGCAGGAACAACATAAAAACAAGGAGATGAGGAAAGAAAAAAGGAACAAGACAAACTGCTGGCACCTCTTGGAGACCATTATCTTCATTACTTGCGATGTCTGTGCCTGTCTGGAAGCCATATCACTTACATCCATCACATGCACACATGGCACTTGGTTCCTTCGACGACAGATATGGTCACAAGTCCAGGAATGAAGATTGATCATCAAAAAATAATTTGCCAAGTTTCACCAGCTGCTACTTCTTAACCCCTTGCATGCCATAGGAGGGAATTATTTGTTGTAATCTAAAACTTAGACTAACAAAGATAAGTTTTTCTTTTTTGAACATAGTCTTGGAAAATGCAGTGTGGACTTATGATCCAGAACAAAATTCTATGTCAATAACTCAAAACAAAAATATGTCTCTTGGATGTTCATTTTATATATTATCAAAATCTTGGTGGTGCAAAGGGGTTAACATATTTAAACACAAACTTCTCATTCCACTTTTGATCTCCTACAGACTGTCTCAATAATGACAAAATCCATACCAACCCCCAAAGTATCTATTGCTTCTTCTTGCACATTTACATCTGGAGGAAATAACCATAACTTCTTACCGTCACTTACGATTGTTTTTGTTTGCTGAAGTCACATGTGCTGTTCTTGGCCCTGATCTTATTTCAATGTTGACAGCTCACGAATCGCAGCTCTAATACAACTATTTATTGTCTGTTTTTATGAGCTGAGGTGAAGTAGAGGTCTTCTTTGCCATAAAATATCACAGACGGACTCATCTGATGTCTTATATCACACCTGCATTATGATTATAAATAACTGATTGAAACATTCAGATGCTAAATGATAATGATACTAATTCAGATGAATTTCTCTTACTTTAAAAAAGGGGTACAAACTCTATGTTCCTCTATTTCCTATTGGAAACTTTTTTTTTTCTTGTATCAAGCATATGGGAAATAAAGAAGTAAGAAGTTGGTAAACAATGGGTCAGGAAACAATCAAGTGTGACATTTTATCAAACAGAGTTTCATGAATCAACACCTTCACTGTTTGCCAAACAAAGATTCATGTGTTCAAACCAAAACAGTGTATTTTAAAAACTGCTTCATGAATCAACATCTCAAGAGTTTGTTAAACAAAGATTCATGCCTTAACACTTTACAGTATCTCATAATCATCTTCATGAGTCAACACTTTCTACTGTTTGTCAACAGAGTGTCATCTCAATCTAATGTCATTACTATCACATTCATGAAGCCTCACCCAACAAGCTGACATCTTTACACCTCAATTACACAGGCATTAAACAAGATGAAGCACTCATTAAAATCATCTTCACTCCACAGATGGCTGACGGAGGGACGCAAGGACAAATTCTCAAGCCTAGAATCACGCTGTGTTCACTGTGGTTGCTACACAACAGAGATGGAGCTCGCCTCCTTCCGATCATAACATGTTTACCCGCATTCCCCCTGCATTTCTTGGCTCTTGCCTCAGCTAAGCCCCGGAAATCCTCTGTCGTAAATACGAGTCATAGAGGTGCTATTACATATCCCAATCCCGATTGATTGTTCTCCAGAAGCACTTAAAGCGAAGATCCCTGTCTTAGCTTGGCTATGGCAATAGTGGATGTCAATTATGCAGATTTTACTTCCCCAAACAAATCAATCTCAATTATCTACATCAGAAATCTGGGTCGAGGAAAGGAAATATAAAGCAACCTGACCTAATATGTTGATCTTGATGGATCATACTTCAGAAAGTATGGAATTAAAGCAACTTTCTTCAATTTGCTAAAGACAATTACCTTACTCTTACATATTAAAAAAAAAAAAATCAATTTTTTACAGTTTTGAACCCTTACTGAAAGTTAATAGGTGTGTTGTAGTGAATTTGATCAAACATTCAACCATAATATTAAAACAATCATTGGTTTAATCATCTCTCAATATCCAGATCATATCTCTTAAGTGATTATATCTAAGAGAATTTCTAAGCAGAAACCATCTGATTTTATGTTGCTTTTTTTTTTCAAACTTAAAATTGGCAGCTATTACCGTATTCACATGACAGGCACTCACTTCCGTGCTCAAGAGAGATTAAGATTAAGCCTGGAAGGGATATCCCCAACTCCAAAGTCTGAAGTAGGTAGACTAATCTACTTGTCAAAACTTTGTGTGATTAGTCTCCCTACTCCAGACTCAGTGAGGACAAAGTTTGACGTTCTTTGTAATTATACTGGGCTCCAAAACTTAA